GCTTCTTGATTATTATAATTGAATAAAACCATCTAAATGGCATCTAAAAAGACAAAAAAAACAGAACAGAAATCAGAATTTGGGACAAAATAAAACTATTATTGTTGAAATTTTAATAAATTATTAATTTGTTAAAGTTTTATGAATTACATTTTTTAGACACGAGTTCTGATTATTAACATTTAATGAAACCATCTAAATGAAATCCAGAGAAAATAAAAATGGAAAAAACGGAATTCGGGCAAAAAACAAAATGAAAATTTTGGAAAAATGGAAATGGAATTTTATAGGGCCCTATAATCAGTTTAAAATCCAAGTGGTCAGTGCATTAACATCTGACTGACTTCCAGACTGGATGTTTAGCATGTGGTTAGGGCCAATGGTCTCTTGTGATTTAGCCAGACTCGCAGACAGAGGAAGTTTACTGGAGCAGCAACCAGCCATAAGAGCAGAGGACAGCTGGGTCCAGAGCTCTGATGTGAAATCATGTGGAAACACAGATCCTGTGGGGAAACACACCCATCCGCTATCCCAGCTTATCTGATTTGCTTTCGCTGAACAAGCAGATCTGACTGACAGACACGCAACGGGCCTTACCGGTACAACCAGATTTAACACAAACAAAACAATGAGGGTCGTCACTGAAAGCAATGCTCTGCTCACCTCTCTCTGCTTGGTCTCGGGGCACTCGGAGTGTAGCGTCAGCGTTGCGCCCTCGATGTTTCGCGGCATAGGGGTGGACCCCGGGTTAATGATGAACTGTATCTGGTCCGGAGAGATGGTGTGGTGTATGTATCCCTGCGACATGCCATCCGGGTCACCTATGAAGACCAGAGAGCCCTCGTCCCCCTCGCACTCTCCCTCCGGCAGGAAGGCCATGCCGTCCTCCTCGCCCTCCTCGTCCAGGCGGATGGGGTCTTGCTCGATGAGCACGGTAGTGCGATCGTAGACCCTTCCCGAGGAGGACAATGGTCCCGAGATTATGCCGTCGTCTTTGTCATAGTTGGCCATCTTGTCCTCATCTTCCTCCTCTCGGCCCAGTTTGTCCACATCCTCTTCCTCGTCCTCAAAGAACATGGCTGTCTCCGTGAGAGGGCCATTCTCTCCCATGATCCTGATGGACGAGCTCAGTCCTGGGTTCGTGTCCACGTGCTTGCTTTTGTTGCGGCTGGAATACGTTCAAAGAGGTTTAAAACAATATTCATAGAACACAACGCCAAGCAATCAAATGGAAAACAGGATTTAGGCCTCAATCATAGACTAAATTGTTTTGTTTTTTTGGGTAATTAAATTAAAGATGAAATAATATTTTTTTTTTTCAGTAAATGAAATAAAGTTGAAATAAGATACAAATATCAGATGAAAAACAAATGAAAACAACAACAAATATAAAAGCTGAAATAAAATAAGATAAATATCAGATGAAGAACAAAAAAAAACACGTACAAATTGTTTTCAATATCTGAAATAAAGCTAAACTAAAATAAGATAAATATCAGATAAAAAAAACTTAAAAATGAAAAAAAAAAAAATATTTTCAGTAAATAAAAGAGCTTAACTAAAATAAGATAAATATCAGATGAAAAACTTAAAAATATATTAAAAATTATTTATGGTAAATTAACTAAAGTTAAAATAAAATTATATAAACATCAGATGAAAAACTTTGCCTTGGCAACTAATTTAAATAAATGAGTTATGTTATGCAAGTACTAAAATTAGTAAAACAAAAAATTGTATAAAAAGAAATTAAAATGAAATAGAAATATAAAAAGTGAAAAAAGCTACTAAAATGTAAAACTGAAAATATATAAATTTATATCAAAATTAATAAATGCTATGATAATTAATACTAAATACTAAAATAACACCATCCCTCACTGAATCGTTATAACAACAGCAGGTTATTATAATGATTAAATGAGGAACAATAAGGAAATAAGTCAAAGTCTATTACAGTGTAATGTGCGCATTATCAAGAATTTTTTTTTTTAAATGCTAAATTGTAAGTTTAGGTACATTTACATAAATCATTCACATAAATCAGTATAATTACAATGAAAGGTATATCAACATATCCGTTTTACAGTATTGTTGTAATAACAGGTATTCTAATATAAATAACAAACACGTAATGTGTTGGGAAAACAGCACCATGTCTCGTACGGTCACGAGAAACTAGGACAATGCAGGGAAACTATTTTTGGCCAGTGTTAGAGTAACTACAAAACAATCAGGGTAAAGGTGCCTTTGCAAACTGAAACCACTGTTGGCATGAAACTATAACAAAGACACACACTATGGTCAACCTAAAACAAAAATGACCCAGACACACCAGCTGTGTCGCAAAACCTAGCAAGCTGACTAGCTAGACAGCACTTTGGACATCATTATGTTCCTAGTCGACACCTTTGATGCCTGAAAATGTCAATAAAATGTTTAAGATTATGATGTTATCTAGGAAGACGTTGTACTAGGTTATAATATCCATAAATGCTGTCTAGGAAGGGAGCTTACCATCTCATGATGCTCGAAATGCTATAGAGAGGAAGCTCTCTAGGTTATTATTTTGCCCAAAAACGCTGTCTAGGAAGACAGCTGACTAGGTTAGCATGCCCAAAAATGCAGTCTAGGAAGGCAGCTGACTGAGGCGGCATGTAAAGGCAGACAGTGTACACTATGAATGCCTTTCTCATGCTACTACACAGTTACAAAGAGGACATTATGTCTCAAGGTGATGAACATACTGTGACAACAAAACAACCCTAATAATAATAATATTACACAATGAGCCTTAAAGCAGGTAAGGCTTCTGTCATTCTGGACACTTTCTAGAAGTTTCCATGTTCACTTTGCCATTGATGATCATCACAAGTCAAAACATTCACATTTATCAATTTGAACACACACACACAGAAAGCCGCGAATACATTAGAGACATTAAAAACACGCAGTCTTTAATGTCGTGCAGTCATAAACGTGTCATATTCCGCTTAAACTGGAAATATTTTTTATAAAAACAAACTGGCATGTCAGTACTGCTAACTGTTAGCTCACCTGTGTTTCGAAGCTCCAGTCATTAGTTCATCTTCTTCTGTCCGGTCAACATTAATAATATCCCGAAGACAAAAGGACTGAAATAATTAAGCAACCCATATTTCATATAATCACTAAAAGCGGTCGTATTTTATTAAGAATTCAGAGACAGGCTAATGTGCTAGCAGAGTCTCCATTCACATCAATGACAGCCGTTAGCTTCATTAGCACGCCATTAACACTAGTTTTTAGACCACATTAACCGGTGTCGTTAGACACAAGCGCAGTTAATTTGACGTTTTAACCGGTTAAAATGTTAAATATTCCGAACACGCTAAATATGTGATAGTTAAAGCATGTAGGTTGGATGTATGCTAACAGATTTACCCCGTTAGCATTGAACAGAAAATCGAATGAAACCGAGACAAGCCATTAAAACATCTGAACGACACCGACACGCGTTCACACCCTCAAATAAAGCAGATTAAAATCATTTCATGTATTTACCAGTGCTATAAAGACGCTAGAGGCCTCTGTAATGTTATGTATCGGGTCCTGTCTTCATTCCTCCCCAGCGGCACCATCATGAACAGCAGCGCACACAGACTCCAGATCAGTTCACTTCACTGTTACTCAGATCCGTTCACTTCATATCAGCATCACATCACTGACAGATTCATCGCATCTTACCTCAAAAACCTACTAGGAGCAAACATGCACCAAACATATCTAACATTTATATCAAGGTCAACTTTATTGTCATTTTAGCACATTAGTTTTAACAAACTCGCATTAATTAACTACATTACTTAAAATGAACTAACAACGAAAAATACTTCGAAAGCATTTATTGATTTTTGCTGATGTTAATTCCAACATTTACTAATTCATTATTAAAATCAAAAATTGTTTTAATATTTAATGAACCTGAGCTAACATGAACTAACAGTGAGCAACTAACATTAACAAAGATTAATAAACATGGTAACAAATGTATTGCTCATTGTTTTTTTATTTTTTATTTATTATTATTATTATTATTTTTTGTATTGCTCATTGTTAATTAAAACCCCTTAACTGTCACCCCCCATTTTTTAAAATAGGCATGCAGGTGCACTATCCAAACTTAAATTGTTGTAATTTATGAACACTTTGGAATACAGACATAAGGTTGGTCTCTTTGTAAAGAAGAATTTTTAAAAAAAAGAATTAAAGTATCAAAATGTTATGCTAGTTTAAATTTACTGTAAAGAAAATGCACTATATTAATTTTATTTTATATATAATACATATTTTACATAACAGGTTTTATAATCTTGGGCTTCTAAGCTTTCAAATGATATATGATTTATGATCATTACTAAAGGATTTGATAGAGAAAAAGGACAACAAAAAAAAAAGAGTGCCAAGCGTCCCACAGGTGGGACGGTGACAGTTCAACTAATTGGACCCAATTGTAAAGTGTGACCGTATTTATTTAAATAGTGCCTAACAACCAAGTCTGAGATGATGCTTCTAGCATTTTCTTTTGCATTTTTTTTTTTCATTACAAATGATGTATGTTGAGCAAAACAAATGCTCAATATTGGAGTAATGAACAAACACTTTGAAATACTTGTAATGGTTTTGAGGAATAAACCTTTTACCAACATATTTACATTTTCTCTGTGTAAATTATCTTTAAAATGGTAAGACATCTTGAAAATGAGCATGAAAATAAAAATAAAAATATAATGGCTATTATACTATATAATACTACAAAATTTAAATTAAATTCTTTAGTTTATTTTGCATCTAAATAATGAGCAATTATTTTGAAGAAAACTAAAGAAAAAGGCAAACACTGAGACTGTTGTAATTGTTGAGATTTAATATAAAAGAACAACTGTTTTTTTATTTACAAACATCAAAATACAAATATATTTAATTAAATAACCATTATTTTTCAACTAAAAACTCCTATTTGTTTCGCAATAAAACAAAAAAAGCTTCAATATCTGTTTAAGATGCTTTGAATTAAATACAAACTACAAAGTTTATCGACATAATTCTGCTGATACCTGGAAAAACTAGGCATGTGAAATAATAAAGGCAACACGATGCAGTACATTATTCAGGTAATTTATCGTGAATATCTCTGTCAGAGGGCGTCTGGACCAAGAAATGCTGGAAAAACTCCTTCACCTTTCTTTTCTCTGTGAGATCTTGCTTTGTGGGGGACCTGAGCAAAAGGCCAGCAAAGATCGGGGCTGTAAACAAAGGACAAACGAGTCAGTAAAAAAACTGCCAAAGTCACTTCCACATCAAACTCCCTGATGTTTCCAGGTTTTCCATGACTGTAAACAACATGGAAACAAAAACCAAAACTTTAGACTTTCTTTCATTTCTAAACCAAGTGCATGACTAGACTTCTTGATTATGCAACTAATCTGTTTTTAATAATAACATTTTAGTAGTGGTCGACCGATATTGGTTTTTTGACAGCCGATGCCGATATCTTGGAAAGCAGGGTGGCCGATGGCCGATATAATTTTATTTTAATTAATATTTAAGAATTTTGAAATCATTTGAAAATGGATTAAAAATAATTGTGTAAAATAAACATACTTATACTT